GACTGTGTGAGTGTCGGAGGCAAAGAAGTCGGGTCTCAGCCCTTCCTGGGTGTAGAAATGAACCCTTAGTAAACGTAGCTGGAATCGACAATCAGAAAGCTGAGGCAGGAGGATCCTGAGTTTGAGGTAAGTCTGAGTACACAATGATTTCTGTTTAAAAAAAAAAAAGTAAGCAGGAAAAACAGGAACCTGGGAGGAAAAACAGTGACAGATGGCAGAAGTCACAGCCAGTCATAGAGGGCACAGGGCTAACAGCTGGCTCCTGACCAACTTCTAAATATTACAAACATTTATTTTAAAATTTTAAATCACATTTATTTACTTATGTGCATATGCTCACGGACACACATATGGAGGTCAGAGGACAACTTTCGGGGGTCTGTCTCTCCTTCCGCCAGGAGCAAATTCAGGCCGATGAGTTTTACCCACTGAGCCATCCTGCTGGCCCACGAACACATAAAACAATTACGTGTGTATGGAGGGGAACATACCTATGTCACAGTGCTCATGTAGAGGTCGGAGAACAACTTTGTGGAGCCGGATCTGCCCCTCCACCCCCACTTGGGTCTGGGAATTGTCAGGCTTGCCCAGCACGTGTTTCACCTCTACCCACCGGGCGATCTTGCTGGCCTATGAGCACGTTTTTTATTGAAGAAATATTTTTATTTCCACTTACACGTGGTCAGAAAAGGGTGTAGTCACTGGCCAGGAACAATGTATGACTTTTTGTTTGTTTGTTTGTTTGTTTTTCCAGACAGGGTTTCTCTGTGTCAGCTCCGGTTATCTTGGAACTCACATTTTAGACCAGGCTGGCCTTGAACTCACAGAGAGGCCTCTGCCTCCAGAGTTCTGGGATTAAAGGCAAGTGTATGTTTTTTGTTGTTGTTGTTGTTTTGTTTTTTGTTTTTTTGGTTTTTCGAGACAGGGTTTCTCTGTAGCTTTGGAGCATCTGTCCTGGAACTCGCTCTGTAGACCAGGCTGATCTCGAACTCGCAGAGATCTGCCTGCCTCTGCCTCCTGAGTGCTGGATGATGTATAGTTCTTTTAAAAGAAAAAATAGTGATTTTGTTTATTTGGTTGGTTGATTGGATTCTCTCTCTCTCCCTCTCTCTCTCTCTCTCTCTCTCTCTGTGTCTCACTCACTCACACAGAGACACACACACACACACACACACACAGAGAGAGAGAGAGAGAGAGAGAGAGGGAGAGAGAGAGAGCTATCCTCAATTTTGTTCTATAGGAAGAGCGACCTTTAACTTCTGACCCCCACCGCCCCGCCTCTGCTCCCAAATGCCAGGACTACAGGCATGCACCACCAAGCCCAGATAGACTCTCATTCTTAAGTATCTCTTGCCCACTCAGCCAGAGTTCAGGACGGGGCCCGCTAGACCCCGAAGAGCCTTGTGTTCAGGAGCAGACAGGCCAGTGTCCCGAACAGCTGCAGTTTGGAAGACGCAGGGCCTCACTCAGAGCTCCGGCACACGCTGCTGCATCCGATCCTCATATTGATCCTGCAATGGGGGGTATTTTTAGCATCACTATTTTTATTCTGATTTTGTGCTCTATGAGCTGAAGACAGGACCCAGGGCCACACACGGACACGATGCATTCATCATTGTCGTCATCACCGAAAGACAGGGTACCATGTAGCCCAGGCTGGCCTCAAATTTAGCTATGGGCCCGAGGATGACCGTGCACTTTTGATCCTCCTGCCTCTACCTCCTTAAAGTTGGGATTACAGGGGTGTGCCACTCCCCTGGTTTATGGCCTGCCGGGGAACACAGGTAGGGCAAACACTCTACCCACTGAGCTACATCTTCAGCCCCGAGGTTAAGAATTACTTAATTAACTTAATTAGTTTATTGGTTTTGGAGAGAAGCTCATTAAGTTTGTTAGGCTAGGGCTGGAGATTAAGTTTCACGGTAAAATAGTCAGCTCTCATGCATGAGGCCCAAACTTCAGTCCTCACCGGTAACAAAAGAAGACAGCCCAAGGTGGCCTCAAATGTACAGTCCTCCTGCCACCGCATCTCAAGTTCTGTGGTCATAGGCATATATCCCCTCTGTACCCAGCCAGCAACACTGTGTTTACATTTAAAGAAGAAAACTGAGACCCAGAGAGGGTAAGACGTTTTCCCAAGGTCACGCAGTTCACAAATGCAGAAAAGCCAAAATAAATAAATAAATTAATACAATAAAATAAAGACAGCTCTGATGAAATCCTATCCTCTTTCTAAATCCATGATTCAGGATTTATCCCGGTGCCTCTTGAGAGAAGAGCTTTACAGAAGACAGTCAGCAGAAGGGCTGGGGAAGTCAGCATTGGCCTATACAGCTGAGAGTGCTGGATGTACCCATTCACCGAGGCTGCTGTATCAAATTGCCAGGAACTGATGCATGGCTTAGACTAACAAGGTTACTTAATCCCACAGTTCTGGAGTTTGGGTACCAGCCTCTCCCAGGCTGAAATCAGCGTATCAAGGGTGATGACCCTCCTGAGGTTTCTACTGCAAGGTCTTCTCTTACCTTTCCCGGCTCTTACAGGATGCCGGCATCCCTTGGCTAATGGCCCCTCTTCAGAAGGTGTATCTGATGCTGACTTCCACTGCCGTGTCTCTGATGTGACTGGCTCTCCTACCTTCCACTGATAAAAGCCCTTGTGACCATTTTGTATGAATCCTGATCATAAGACTCACAGCTTGATCACACCCGCGGTCTCCTTTGCCATCTAAGGTACCAGATTCTGGAGATGGAGATGTGAACATCTTTCAGGGGATATTATCCTGCCAGACTTGGAGACTCCTGATATAGCTATTCAGAACCAGGGTCCTACAAAGACCCTTAGTTCAAATCCCAATTCCCTCGGTGCTGGCAGATCCAAGTGTGTAACTTACCTTGTTTTTAGTGACCTCCCCTGAAAAGTCAGAGCAAGGGTCTTCCTTCTAGTGCTATGTGAAGGTCAGATGTTTGCAGGGCAGGGTTCAGTAGGTAACTGCCCTCCGACCCTGGCCCTGCTCTCCTGTAATAACAGATGTCTTAGTTTGGGTTACTATTTCAGTGATGAAACACCATGACCAATAGCAAGTCATGAGTGGTATTTGGCTTATGCGCCCAGATCACTGTTCATCATGAAGGAAATCGGGACAGGAACTCAGACAGGGCAGGAACCTGGAGGCAGGAGATGATGCAGAGGCCATGGAGAGGAGCTGCTTACTGGCTTATTCCTCATGGCTTTCTCGGCCTGCTCTCTACAGCACTCAGGACCACTAGCCCAGGAGTATCTCCACCCACAGTGGAATGCGTCTTCCCCTATTGATCACTAATTTAAGAAAAAGTTCTACTGGTCTGCCTACACTTATGGAGGCATTTTCATACTTGAGGGTCTCTTCCCAAAGATGATTACAGCTTGTGTCAAGTCGACTTAAAATTAGACAGCACTGTTGTAGAATATTGTTTTGTTTTGTTTTTTTTGAGACAGGGTTTCTCTGTAGCTTTGGAGCCTGTCCTGGAACTAGCTCTTGTACACCAGGTTGGCCTCGAACTCACAGAGATCTGTCTGCCTCTGCCTCCCAAGTGCTGAGATTAAAGGTGTGCGCCACCACCGCCCGGCTCGAGTATTGTTTTCACTAGGCAAAGATGTTATGTTACATTTGCTTATGCTGCAGAATGTTCCTTTAACCGTGTAAAGGAGTGTAACTCTTGTTTATGCTATGTTTTTTCATTGTGTGAAGATGTGTTGCACTTGCTTTATCTTGCCTGCCTAAAGCACCTGATTGGTCTAATAAAGAGTGAACAGGCCAGTAGCTAGGGAAAGATAGGATAGGCAAGGCTAGCAGGCAGAGAGAATAAATAGGAGGAAAGATCTAGACTAGAGAAGAAGGAGAGGAAGGGGAGAAGAGAGAGAGAGAGAAAGAAGGACACACGGGGCAAGAAGTCGGGCAGATGCCAGACAGACAGACAAGGAGGGAAAGTAAGATATACAGAAAGGTTAAAAGCCCCCAGGCAAAAGGTAGATAAAGAGGAACAGGTTAATTTAAGTGAAAAGCGCTAGCCAGAAACCAGCCCAAGCCAGGCTGAGCATTCAAAGCTAATAAGAAGTCTCTGTGATGTGGTTTGGGGGCTGGTTAGTGTCCAGAAAGGAAAAGCCTGGTACACAGCACAGCAGATAATAGAAAGTCACTGTTTGAGATTTGTATCTTTGAATCTTTTGCCCTAAGGGCACGTCTCAGATCCTGCTGAGCTAATTTAGTGGGGTAAATTGGCCGGCAGCTTCTGTGTGGGAAGATACAGGGGAAAGAATCACACGGAGGCGGAGAGTTGAACAGGGGAGGCAATAGCAACACACACTTCGTCTGACACTCTCTCGGCTTTGCTCATAGCCCAGCTTTGACTGTGAAGTTTTTGGCATCTCCACCCTTGAGGTTGGTTTTCCGAGATAGCCGAGATAGATGGACCCGCCCAGCTGGATGAGGTGCGGAGTAGGGCGGGGCTGGGCCTGGATCCCAGGCGTGGAAAAGTACCAGTATTCCTTGTTTCCACCTTAGGGGCAGTATGAATGACCTGCCTGCCTCCAGTCTGTCAGGATGAATTGCAACCTAGAGGCCTGGGCGTTGGGTGTAACCAATAACTATCTGCAGGTTTGTGAAGGATTGAGGGAGAATGGTCAGGGGAGCGGATGGGAACCGAGGCTGGGTTCAGGGTAAGGCTACAGCAGCTACTTTTGCGCTCCAAGCCTCTATTTCCAAAAACGCCGTTTGCACCTCCCAATTCACAAATCATCCTCAAATTAATCTTTTGCTAGCTGTTACTGCAAGTTAGAAGTAGCAGCCTACAGTGTGCGATTGGACTCTGGCAGTATACAGCACGGTGAATTTGCAGACTGGGAGTACCCAGGAATCCCAAGGGAGCAAGCTGTGCAGCTTGTCCAGAAAGCGGTCATCCCCAGTAGGAGGCGCCTTTTGTCTTCAACCAGCTTCTCTGACACCGGGCGGCCCAAGGACTTCTCAGGCCTAGAACTTCAAAGAGTTGGGCGCGCACGCACGAAGCAGACCCTGGTCTGACCCACGTCGGAATTCTGAGTTGACAAGGAGCGTAGATCCGTGCCTGGAGTCGCGGCGTTTCCAGGCAAACTTCCAGGCAGGTGAGACAGCTCTCAGTTCGTAGGACACTCCCCCGCTCCAGGCTGAGCGAGAAGTCTGCCTGTGATTCACTGGAAAGTTTTCTGCCAAACTGGTAACGCGCACCGGGCTGCACACTCAAAGTGAGGATCCTGAAAGCGCCCGGGAGACCCGGGAGTGGGAAGCTGGCCGAGGGCGTGAGCTGAGAGGTTGGGAAAACCTCGCTTCCTTCCTCCTTCCCTCCTCCGCCCGACACTGGGCTGGGCGACCGGGAGCTGCGGGTGGAGAAAAAGCGACCGCCTGCGCGCACAGGAAGGTGAGTTTACCGCCAGGTGAGGTCGCCCAGCAGGAACTCCCAGCTCCCATTACCCCCACAAGTGTCCCCCCTAAACAGTTATCCCCCTGCCGCAGAGATCGAGGTCAGGGACCATGCATTGCGCTGTGCAGTGCCAGGCCCTCCAGCCTGCTCCGCCCCGGGGTCCTGGTCCCCGCCCGGTGGCGCAGGGCGCAGGGTGGGCAGGTGGGCGGCGCCTCCTGCGGGCGCCCTCGGTCCCTCCCACGAGCTCTCCGCGCTTCGGCCGGCGCTGGCAAATCCCCTTCACAGTAGCCGGGCTGCGCTCCCTCTCCACGCTGCGCTCCCTGGCTCCGGCTCCTCGGCCCATGATTGCCTGGGGTGGGGGGTGTCGCGGAACCCCCAGCCCCGGGCGGCGGGGCAGAGACCCAGTGCGACCCGCTGCCTCCTGGGTGAGTCTGCGCCCTTGCGCCGGGGGATGAACTGTGGGGCTCCAGTCGGGTTTCCGTGCTTCCCGGAGTATCACGCAGAACCTGTCCCCCTCGGGGACTCCGAATCCTGCACCCTCTGCAACGCACCCGGTCATTGTGGGGCTACTCCCGCCTCCCGCATCGCTCGGGGGCCCCCTGTTGGCTGGGACAGGTGCCATCTGCCTGGGCCTGGACAGGAGCACCTGGGCTCGGGTGCTTTTGCAAGAAAGGAACTGGTGCTTTGAGAAACAGGGCACCTCTCTGGTCTCGCGAGCCCCTATTCTAGTTGTTGTTGGTGGACACCATTTACTCTTGTTTCTGTCTGTTACCGGATTAAGATTAGTGCTTGTAGAAGCAATCGAGGGGTGGAGAGCCTCCAGGATCCTTGGTTTCTTTACCAGTAAAATAGGAATGGCAGAGCCCCAGGCTGAGGCTAGGCATTCCTGTCCAGCAGACCAAGGACTCTGTAGATAAGTTACAGGGCTCAAGGGAGATAAGATACCTGCGAGAGAGTAACTTTGCTCGAACTTGATGTGAGCATTGGGGGTGCATTTGAAAAGGAGACACCATGTCTGATTACCACATTGGCCACTTTAAGAGACAATTGTTCTCAGCCGCTGGGCAGGAACAGGAGATCTGTCCTGGATGCTGCTATGGGGGACCCTGTAAAGCGGAGGTTTGCTTCTCTGATGATGCGTGTGGCTCTGAGCCAGGTTCTTGGCCAATCTGGGAATTTAGGAGGCAGAGCGAAGGGGCAGGGCCTAAGTAGGTGAGACCACGCAAGTTTGCGGGTGCAGGGAGTCCCCACCTGTCCCCTCCGGGGCCTCCTCTGTTTTTTGTTTGGAAGGCTAATATGAAGGTTGATCTCTTAATGGAAGGGTCAAACAGCTTCCCCCCTGAGACCTGCCACTTAAACCTCTCTCTCAAAACTGATCAAAAGTTCTCCAAACCCAGACCAAAAGAGATGGCAGGGGAGCAAGAGAGACTGGTGGTAAGTCTGCTGGATGTTGGGTGTCACCCAAGGCCAGGCCTGCCCAGTCAGGAAATCAGTGATAGACATGGCAAGGGTCCTGGAGGGCTTCTGATGCTGCAGTCTGGCTGTACTTCTGTTGGCTGTGTGGTCGAGGATGGCCAGTCTCCTCCTCTGAGATGGGAGTGCTGGGTCCCTAGACTGGGATGAGGTCATGGTGGCGCATACTCTGTAGTTCATTATATTAGGCGGGCCGAGGAGGAAGAAAGAGCAAAGCACTGGTGTAGTGATCGGGACACTGGCATCCCTTGGGGGACAGGAGAAGAAGGTGTCAGAGCTACTGAGATGGCAGCAACACTATGAAGATGTGCTGGATGGAACGCCGGTCAGGGAATGAGGGTGGGTTCGTGGGAGGGTTTAGGGGGGAGTCCATGATGAGACAGACCAGGCAGGCAAGGGTTGTATTGGAGCATCCCGCAGAGACGGGCAGAGATAGACGGGGCATTTTCCATGGGCCAGGAGCTGCCTAAGGTGGGAAGTGTGGACACATTTCATTCCAGGTCTTAAGGCAGGAGAGTCATTTGATCACAAGGTTAAGATAATTCTTGTGGGGGTGGCGGGCGGATCTCAGTGGTGGAGTGCTTGCTCATCACATGAGGCCCTGGGTTCCACCCACCAGCACTGAACAAGACACAGCAGCAGCCACCAGACTTTCTCAAACTTAATTCAAAAAGACAGGAGAGGGAAAACTGACTAAGGGCCGGACAGCCGGGACACCGAGGGGCACTGGGTAGAAGACATTACGGGAGGCAAGGATTAACTTGTGACCTTCACACACGACTAATGATCAAGGACAAGATTCCTGGACTCCGTGGGAGGCCCAAATGGTTGCCCTCTTTCCTACAAGGGAGCCCGTGAGTTCCCAGAATGTGGGCAGGGCCCTGCACTCTCCAACTGTTGCTTGGGTTCCAGATGTCGCAGGCTCAGGCCTTTCTCTGTCCACACTGGGGACAGAAGAGGTGGCTTCTGCTCACATTCTGTATGAGCCGCTTGCCCTGGCAGTGTGTGGGTGGGGAGGACGGGGAGATTTACACCATCATGTTTCTGCACTTTTGCCCTTCCCTGTTTTGAGAAAGGCAGGGAACCCTCTCCAGCCTCCTGGACCAGAGTGGAAGGCCTTGGGCCCTAAGCTCCTCTTGTGGAGAGCCTAGGACAGGATCCTAGGGAGTCGGAGATGCCGGGAAAGTTCCAGCATCTTCCAGTGGGGTGTGAGGAATCTGCGTCTGGCTGCTGTTTCCTTTCACTTTTATGAGCAGCGCTCTGGTGCACAGCGGAGCACATCCTGCACTGAGCAGCCTCAAGAACACCTTCCGTGTCCGAATTCTCTCATTGCCTGGAGGTTACAGGGGGATCCTGCAATGGAGCAGGTAGTGGGGGAGCGTCCAGCTGTCTGCCCACCACTTTCATGTGACCCATGTTATTCAGAAGGGCCAGCAGTTAGAGGCACACAGAAGCCCAGGTGCCCTCTGAGGTCCTTCATGTGATCCCCAGGGGGCCTGGCCACGTGGGGGTCAGGTTGGATGATTTCTTAGCGTCTGGATCTTTCTGGATGTTCTATTGAGTCCTGCTTTTCCCCATCCTGGACAGGTGGCACAGCCTAGCCCAGCCTGGCCTAGGCAGTGCCTTTTTTTTTTTTTCCAGGCCTTGGCGCCGGGCCTCCTCTCCTGGGAGTTCTTGTTTGGTTTTCCTTCCCCCGCCACAGGCCAGGCTGCTTTGACCACTTCCAGATGGCTCAAGACCAGGGCCAGAGATCTGACAGGTGGGTCTATGCTAAGCCGTTCCAGCCACCACACCTTGGGTTGACTCCTCACTCCCTCTCTCAAGCCCCAGTCCTAGCTCAGAATGGCTGTTTAGCCCTTGTGCACAGCCTGCTGCCGTTCAGCTGTTTACTCGGGCTCCTGTCTCCCTTGGCCTAGATTTGCAGGCTCAGCCACCCTCCCATTTGCATGCTGGGCACTTTTGGACCTAGAATATTGGAATCAGCAGGGGCCTCAGCTTCAGAAGTCTAATCTGCTGATCTTGCAAATGGGGAAACTGAGGCTCAAGGAAGGGGAAAGACAAGCCTGAGATCAGAGCCAGGACCAGAGATTGACTTTCCCAACTCTGTCCAGGATGGTTTCTTTTTATTTTATCTTATTTACTATTAGTGTGGATGTGCAGGTATGTGCTTGCCGAAGCATGTGTGTAGAGGTCAGAGGCCAACTTTGGGGAGTCAGTTGTTTAATTCTACCTTGGTTTCTGGGGATAGGAGCTCAGGTCTTGGGGCTCGGCAACAAACACCTTTCCCTGCTGACCCGTCTCATCAGTCTGTCTTGGATGTCTTTGAGGATCCTTCTGTTTGTTTGTTGGTTAGTTTGAGGGACCGGGTCTCCTGCAGCCCAAGCTGGCTTTGTACTCTGTATGTAGCTGAGGATGTCTTCTGCTCCTCTTGCCTCACCTCCCGAACGTAAGGACATTCAATGCTGGGACGTGGTGCTGGGGCGGGGACGCAGGGCCTCGAGCATGCTGGGTGCTGAGCACTTTACCAACTGAGCCCCACATCTTCAGACCACGTGGGTGATTCTTAGGAGCAGAGAGTTGAAGCTGGAAGCCAAAGCAGGGTGAACCCCCTTGCAGAAACTCCCCCCCTCTATGCCGCACACTCTCCACAGCGGTGTGTTGAGAAGGAGTTAAGGGTAGGGGGCCTGAAAGATGTGGGAGTGGGTCTGACATTGTCCTCTGGGAGGGAGATGTTGGCATCTGAGACTGCCTTACCCACTGAGCCACACAGTCTCTGGAATCGCAGACTAAGGAAAAGGCTGCTTCTCCGCACAGCAAGCACACACCTGTCCCTCAAGACAGGGAAGGGCAGTGTCATGGACCCAGCGACACTGGCTGTAGGAATGAGTGATTTTGCTCTACCATGTTATGTCGTTTTTTTTTTCTGAGGTGTGGTGCTCCGAAGGGACTAGTTTCCCCCCCCAGGTTCTGGCATGCTAGACTCGCGTGCTTCTACCTGAAGGCCATCAGGAATTCGGGAGTCTGGATTGTAGGGTTAGTTCAGTCAGGATACTGCCTTGACCCAAATCTAACACAATGTAAGGTGCACGGGGCTTCGGAGTCCATGCTTCTCCATCACTACGAGTGTTAGAGGATTGTGATGTTCGCATCTCATGAGGTTCTTAGAAAGAGGAGGCTGGCATCTGGATGGCACTGGTGGGAGCCCAAGGTAACACAGAGGAAGAATCTGATTTCGGTTGAATTCATCGTAAGTCAACCGGTGACACCATCCCTGGTCCCATGGCTTCCCCAGACTAGGCATTGTGGGATGTCAGAAGTAAGTCCCAAGGAACATCTAATTTGGGCTTGTTCATTTCAGCCCTTCTTCCTGGGAAGAGGTAGCAAAAGTGGAGGCTAGAGTGATGTCTCCGTGGCTAAAAACACTTTTTCTACAATCAGGAGTTCGGATCCTAGCTTGCAAGTAACAGTCTGCGTATCTCTTCATTGCCTATAACCCCAGCTTTGTCGAGGATGGAGACTGGACC